TCTGGAGGGGGTGGAGACGGTGCTCCGGAGGGGGTGGAGACGGTGCTCCGGAGGGGGTGGAGACGGTGCTCCGGAGGGGGTGGAGACATGACCGATATCCTTCTCTATATTGTCACCCTCAGGTGTCATGGCCGGCTTCAACATGAGCGGAGATCTGCGCAGACCGTCTGTCAATATCCCGATCGGCTCGCTGGCCGCCATCGCCATCTCGTAAGTTACAAATCAAAACCTTCTCTGGAGAGTTGTGTACACTGCGACATTAAACGTGTTGCATGCTCCATATTTACACGCTGTGTGTTATCTGGATGTGAAGTATTTTGTATTCCTGTAATAAAATTCTCAGTCTGGGGGTCAGCTGACCTTCTCCTCTCCCCCCAGATGGTTCCTCTACATCGTCTTCGTCTTCTTGCTGGGCGCCACCTGCGCTCGAGAGTTCCTGCGCTATGAATTCATGATCGCTGAGAAGGTGAGTGCGCTCCGGTCACATGTTCTCCGGTCACATGTTCTCCGGTCACATGTTCTTTATGTTTTTACTTTTTTTTTTTTGGTGTATTTAATTATTATTTGTGAGCTGTTACATTGTATATAAACATTGATCAGAGGGAGATAGAGATACAAAGTAACATTGTTTATAAACATTGATCAGAGGGAGATAGAGAGATACAAAGTAACATTGTTTATAAACATTGATCAGAGGGAGATAGAGAGATACAAAGTAACATTGTTTATAAACATTGATCAGAGGAGAGATCACGAGGAGTGAAGGGAAATCTCCGGAGCAGTAACAAGGTGACAGATTATCGCTCTTCCATCCTCCACATAAACAATGGAACATGTATTGGATGGAGTTGTGACTGAAGGAATCCGGAGAGACATATGGAGGTCGCTGGGCTGATCTTATTCTAGATTTGCCGGTTTCCCGGCTGTGTTTGCTTTCTGAGTGGCTGGGGTGGAAGAAGAATACAGAGGAGTGTGACTTGTCCCGGGTCATCGGGGGAAGGGGAGGCAGCCTGAGGAGACTCTCGGTATAGTCCATCGTTGGGGGTTTCCTTTAAGGTGATTGGTTGTTGGGTAAATGTTACATTTTGGCATTTCTGGAGGCCGGCTGTGTGTCTGGAGGTGACATCAGACTTCCGGCTCGGTGATCGAGATATAGAATGTGTCTCCATCATACATGTGATGGCGGATCTTCTCCTCTCACCCATCCTCCTCTTCTCCTCTCACCCATCCTCCTCGTCTCCTCTCGCCCATCCTCCTCGTCTCCTCTCACCCATCCTCCTCGTCTCCTCTCGCCCATCCTCCTCGTCTCCTCTCACCCATCCTCCTCGTCTCCTCTCGCCCATCCTCCTCGTCTCCTCTCACCCATCCTCCTCGTCTCCTCTCGCCCATCCTCCTCGTCTCCTCTCACCCATCCTCCTCGTCTCCTCTCGCCCATCCTCCTCGTCTCCTCTCACCCATCCTCCTCGTCTCCTCTCGCCCATCCTCCTCGTCTCCTCTCACCCATCCTCCTCGTCTCCTCTCGCCCATCCTCCTCGTCTCCTCTCACCCATCCTCCTCGTCTCCTCTCGCCCATCCTCCTCGTCTCCTCTCACCCATCCTCCTCGTCTCCTCTCGCCCATCCTCCTCGTCTCCTCTCACCCATCCTCCTCGTCTCCTCTCGCCCATCCTCCTCGTCTCCTCTCACCCATCCTCCTCGTCTCCTCTCGCCCATCCTCCTCGTCTCCTCTCACCCATCCTCCTCGTCTCCTCTCGCCCATCCTCCTCGTCTCCTCTCACCCATCCTCCTCGTCTCCTCTCGCCCATCCTCCTCGTCTCCTCTCACCCATCCTCCTCGTCTCCTCTCGCCCATCCTCCTCGTCTCCTCTCACCCATCCTCCTCGTCTCCTCTCGCCCATCCTCCTCGTCTCCTCTCACCCATCCTCCTCGTCTCCTCTCGCCCATCCTCCTCGTCTCCTCTCACCCATCCTCCTCGTCTCCTCTCGCCCATCCTCCTCGTCTCCTCTCACCCATCCTCCTCGTCTCCTCTCGCCCATCCTCCTCGTCTCCTCTCACCCATCCTCCTCGTCTCCTCTCGCCCATCCTCCTCGTCTCCTCTCACCCATCCTCCTCGTCTCCTCTCGCCCATCCTCCTCGTCTCCTCTCACCCATCCTCCTCGTCTCCTCTCGCCCATCCTCCTCGTCTCCTCTCACCCATCCTCCTCGTCTCCTCTCGCCCATCCTCCTCGTCTCCTCTCACCCATCCTCCTCGTCTCCTCTCGCCCATCCTCCTCGTCTCCTCTCACCCATCCTCCTCGTCTCCTCTCGCCCATCCTCCTCGTCTCCTCTCACCCATCCTCCTCGTCTCCTCTCGCCCATCCTCCTCGTCTCCTCTCACCCATCCTCCTCGTCTCCTCTCGCCCATCCTCCTCGTCTCCTCTCACCCATCCTCCTCGTCTCCTCTCGCCCATCCTCCTCGTCTCCTCTCACCCATCCTCCTCGTCTCCTCTCGCCCATCCTCCTCGTCTCCTCTCACCCATCCTCCTCGTCTCCTCTCGCCCATCCTCCTCGTCTCCTCTCACCCATCCTCCTCGTCTCCTCTCGCCCATCCTCCTCGTCTCCTCTCACCCATCCTCCTCGTCTCCTCTCGCCCATCCTCCTCGTCTCCTCTCACCCATCCTCCTCGTCTCCTCTCGCCCATCCTCCTCGTCTCCTCTCACCCATCCTCCTCGTCTCCTCTCGCCCATCCTCCTCGTCTCCTCTCACCCATCCTCCTCGTCTCCTCTCGCCCATCCTCCTCGTCTCCTCTCACCCATCCTCCTCGTCTCCTCTCGCCCATCCTCCTCGTCTCCTCTCACCCATCCTCCTCGTCTCCTCTCGCCCATCCTCCTCGTCTCCTCTCACCCATCCTCCTCGTCTCCTCTCGCCCATCCTCCTCGTCTCCTCTCACCCATCCTCCTCGTCTCCTCTCGCCCATCCTCCTCGTCTCCTCTCACCCATCCTCCTCGTCTCCTCTCGCCCATCCTCCTCGTCTCCTCTCACCCATCCTCCTCGTCTCCTCTCGCCCATCCTCCTCGTCTCCTCTCACCCATCCTCCTCGTCTCCTCTCGCCCATCCTCCTCGTCTCCTCTCACCCATCCTCCTCGTCTCCTCTCGCCCATCCTCCTCGTCTCCTCTCACCCATCCTCCTCGTCTCCTCTCGCCCATCCTCCTCGTCTCCTCTCACCCATCCTCCTCGTCTCCTCTCGCCCATCCTCCTCGTCTCCTCTCACCCATCCTCCTCGTCTCCTCTCGCCCATCCTCCTCGTCTCCTCTCACCCATCCTCCTCGTCTCCTCTCGCCCATCCTCCTCGTCTCCTCTCACCCATCCTCCTCGTCTCCTCTCGCCCATCCTCCTCGTCTCCTCTCACCCATCCTCCTCGTCTCCTCTCGCCCATCCTCCTCGTCTCCTCTCACCCATCCTCCTCGTCTCCTCTCGCCCATCCTCCTCGTCTCCTCTCACCCATCCTCCTCGTCTCCTCTCGCCCATCCTCCTCGTCTCCTCTCACCCATCCTCCTCGTCTCCTCTCGCCCATCCTCCTCGTCTCCTCTCACCCATCCTCCTCGTCTCCTCTCGCCCATCCTCCTCGTCTCCTCTCACCCATCCTCCTCGTCTCCTCTCGCCCATCCTCCTCGTCTCCTCTCACCCATCCTCCTCGTCTCCTCTCGCCCATCCTCCTCGTCTCCTCTCACCCATCCTCCTCGTCTCCTCTCGCCCATCCTCCTCGTCTCCTCTCACCCATCCTCCTCGTCTCCTCTCGCCCATCCTCCTCGTCTCCTCTCACCCATCCTCCTCGTCTCCTCTCGCCCATCCTCCTCGTCTCCTCTCACCCATCCTCCTCGTCTCCTCTCACCCATCCTCCTCTTCTCCTCTCACCAATCACATTTGTTGCCCTGATCCGGATCTCGGTTCTGATCACTTTGTGTGTTTTTCTGGCTCAGACACGTTGTCATAAAAATCACCTGAATTACCCATAATCCCCTTCCATGGTGTCAGAGGTCAGCAGACACAGGGGGGGTGATGGGGAGGTAGAAGCGATCTATCCGTGTGCTCCGGCCGTGTCATTGGGTGGAATGAGCGTCACATGACCTCTGCCGAGTATCGGATCTGCGTCTCTTATAATCTGTGGCTGCATGGAGCGTTAACCCCTTCCCCGGATATTATAATCCCCCGGGATATCATTTTTCTCCCCCCTCCCCCAGAGGGACAGGGTGATTGTGCATCCAGTGTGTGTCCTCACCTGAATTACCAGGTTCCATTACAGCCAATCAGAGCCCAGCTTTCAGCTGTTGGTCATAACGTGGCAGATTAACGCTGATCTCTGATTGGCTGTGCACAGTGAATGGTATTTTGCAGATCGCAGTCCGTGGCATGTGTGAGCATGATTGTCATATTCTAGTGCCGTGTAGAAGGTACGGTGTCCCAAAGCAACCAGATTTCAGCAGTGAGAGAAGAATTCTGGTTGCCGTGGGTTACTGCACATCTGATGATGAAATGCAGATTCTTCTTCATTTCCCCTCACCCGTCTCCTCCTCCTCCACAGGTTTCCCTGGTTGGCTTCCTCTTCCTGCTCGGCCTCTACATCTCCTCGCTGGCCTCCTGCATGGGCGGCCTGTATGGCGCTCCCAGAATCCTCCAGTGCATTGCGCAGGAGAAGGTCATCCCCATCCTCTCCTTCCTGGCACACGGGGTAAGTGTGTCGCTTCTCCAACTTGAAGCAGAACTCGGAATGTCGGGTCAGTGTACGGCGGCCGGGGAGATCAGAATGCGGTTTTGTCGTTCTTCCTCAATAGGAGGCAATGTGAACACGCGGCCACCATGTACGCTGAGCGGGGGATGGGCTATGAGTGTGTGAGGGATACAGTTCACGATGATCGTGTCAGTGGAATGTCGTCTTCTCATCGTCTGGTCATGTTGTATGAAAATAATCAGATCAGACGGAAAATTCCCCAAAAAGATAATCCCGGGCCGGCCCGCTGGATGGGAAGGTGCCGGAACCTCTGCAGGTGGACACAATGTATCCGGACTACATTGTAACAAACACATTGAGCCGTCTGACGCAATGACCGTGTTCAGGTCTGGCCGGTCTATGAATGGAGGTTTGGAGGACACAACGAGGAGGCCGTCATGGCGGACGCACCGGCGCGGCTTCTGCACTAGACGGATCAATTAGAAGTATTGCAAATTGTATTTCCTCAACCAACATGGACGCCTCCTATGGATCTCATCAACCTCCATGATGGAGGATGGGAGCCCGGGCTGTGTATGTTCACTTCTCTCTCTCTCTACGTCTGGGCGGCCATATTGGATCGGATTCCTGCCTTGTATCCAACTCCCTGCTGGCCCCTCTTCTCCCTGCTGGCCCCTCTTCTCCCTGCTGGCCCCTCTTCTCCCTGCTGGCCCCTCTTCTCCCTGCGGCCCCAAAGCCGGGCCTTGGTTGGCCTTGTGGGAAATCCGGCCCCGCTTGTTACGCAGCTCAGTGATTGGATGCCGCCTCACACTATGGGCAGAGATCGGGCAGGAGGCAAGTCGTGTCATTTATAGAAATCTCAGTGGAATTTTCTGGGTCTGTATCAGAACTTTCACTTCCTATCGCTCATTACAAGCGGCCTCGACGGTCCCCAATCAATGCTACAACAATCATCGACAGGTCCAAAGGATCTTTTAATAGCCATGAAAAGCTCAGAGAAGACTCCGGAATGTCAGCGCGTGAAGGCGAATAAATGGTGGCAATGTGAACAAACCGTCAGTGCAGCCTGAAAACCCATATTTTAGCTATTGGTTTTATCTCGGCAGTTGTTCAGCGGGGAGGCTGACTGCACTGCCTGACATTCAGGAGGTCCCTAGAGGGATCTCTGTATAAATTTCACAAACATCAATTTTGGTTTACTGTCGGGTAAATTCTCTGTAGTTCCCCTTTAAGCTGATCCCAGTAACGTGTTGATGGCGGAGTGGCCGCGTTTTGCAGTAATTCCCCCGATAGACGGGATTATAGACTCCGCCGCATTCTCCTCATTAGAATTGTGTGAACCGCGCTCAGGATTAGGCGTCCCTCTGCCAGCAATGACGCTCAGTGTGTGTGAGCTGATTATGGGGGGG